AGGAGAAGGAGAGGAGCACGATCATGTCGGAGGCCAAGGCGAGGAGGTTGGCCACGATCCGCGCGCTCATCTTCCACGTCAACGACACGTACCGTCGTCAGCACATTGCGGCGATGCAGGCGGCGGAGAAGGAGAAGAAGTGATGAGTGGTTGGGATTGGTTGAAGACGAGGTGGTTTTTATATACCTGTTTTGTAGGATCTTCTTTTACAGCCCCTCGTCCCTCCTCCCTCCGTCTCTTTGTGTTTAGTGTTTTGCAGGCTCTTGTTTACGGACCTTCGTGTTTCACCGTTGCTTGTCTTAATGTACACTTTGTCGTGTTGATCTGCCTACTACTTTGTTTCCGAAAGAGAGCGCGACTGGTCGAGAGAAAGCGAACTCGCACGCGCGCGCACGAAAATAAAGTGCAAGGGTTTCCATCAGGTGTACTTGTTGAAGAACGATGAGAACCCTCCAGCAATGGTCCGTTTCGCCGCCTCCCTCTGAGCGACCTTCTTTGAATCCGAAGCAAACTTTGCCGCATCGTCCGCCATCTAGGAGAAACAATGGCTCAAGTCAGGAAACAAATCATCGCGGCGAGGGAAACCGAGACCCGCAGAACACTCACACTCCCCAACCGCTCCTGGAGGTATCCCAGTGTCTCGCCACGCTGCTGAAGCGCTTCTTGAGCTCTCGAGAGGATGGATCCAGTGCTCTCGGTGTCGTCGTAGATCTTTTGCGTGCGTTGGCGGGGCGGAGGACGAACGATGGGAGCGATGCCGCTGCCCGGTGCTGGAGCGCGTTGTTTCGGCGGCGGTCGGTTGCTGCCTCCCACTGCAAAAAGAAAGGGTAAGCTTTCTCTGCACAAAGAGTAAGCGACGAGGAGGGCCTCACAGATCGTATCGATCTCAGCAGCTCCGTACACGCGTTTCCCACCAAAGAACGACCCGATCGTCGACGTGGCCGTTGACAGGAGTGCGACTTGAGGAGGGATCGGGATGCCAGGGATGTGTAGCTCCACGGCGGGAGGGAAAGCAGGACGGGCCATGTCGAAGATGGTGTGGAGGTGGATCGTGAAGGGGTCGAGGATCTGGACGAGGTCGCCGTCTTGCGCGATCGAGATGTCGCCCGAGCTCGTGCTGTGGAACGAGAACGTAAGCTAGTGCAGAAGCAGCATGAACACAGAGATACTCACTGGAGAGCAGCCATGATGTTTCCCCGAGAGATCTGGACAAGGTCAGGAAGACTGAACGTCGTAACGCTCCGATCCCTCGCCGCCACGACCAGCACCGGACACCCGCTCTTCATGACAATCTGAGCACGCTGGAAGCCCGCACCGCCGTCGTACAAAGCCGTCCGAGGTCCATCAATGTTGAAGTAGCAAGCGATCGTACTCGAGTTGACGGTGATCCAAAGCGACGTCAACGATCCTCGAAGGTCGAGGTCCGCTTCCGAGACACTCGCTTGATGGGCGAGAGCTTGCTGGAGGTGAGCTGGACTTGCTGAGGCCTCACTACCGTACTTGTCGATAACGAAGGTCGAGAACGCTCCGGCTGCGTTGTCATGGCTGAAGCTTGCGACCTTCTCGGCGAGGAGCCAAGAGCCTGCGACTTGCGCTAGTTCGTAGACTCTCGTCGCGCCTGACGCTTGCACGACGATAAGACGAGGGTTCCGATCGTGATCTAAGCATGGAGTGGGCGGTGAGTTTGAAGAAAATTTGAGGCGAGAACTTGTTGAGAGCACGTACCTTCGCTGATGGCCGCGATGCACCAGGTCAAACTGGTGATGGGAGACGAATCACCTTTGGCCTTCCCTTTGCCCTTGACATCGACGGGCGAGGACGGATCATCAAGAAGCAAGACGTCGGGACCTCGCATGTCAACGATGAGGAGCGTCGCATCCGATGATGCTGCGAGAAAGCCCACGTCGCTCAAGGCGAGACATCTCGTCCGACCTGGGGTGAGGGTGAACGCTGCCGCTGGTCGGAATCCATCGAGATGAGGACGGAAAATTTGGGCGTAGCTGAGGTCGACATGGAGGTCTTGGAGGTCGAGTTGAGCTTCAGCGGAGGGGGAGAGTGCGCTCTTAGTCGAGACAGACTTCCGACGTCCGACGGGAAGGGAGAACGAGGGGCGATGAGAGGGTACGTGTGCAGGGGAGACGGGGGAAGTCGGAGTAGTGGGGGAAGTCGGAGAGTCGAGTGAGAGCTCGTGGAGAGTGTCGTTGACGGTATCGTGAGCGATCTCGGCCGCTTTCGCCAGCCTCGCTCCCTCCGCGAGCTGCATCGCAACAGCCGTTGCACCCTTGTCGCCGTACCCGAGCCTGGAAACGATGACCTCTCCAGTAGATAGGGTCACAGCGAGCTCCAACGTCTCAGTCGCCAACGACACTTTCTCGAGCTCGAGTTCCCACGGCCGCTCCTTCAGCAACCGACTCGCTTCCAGCCCACTCGCGGTCCCATCCGAAAGCAACACCCGAAGGTCGAGTGTGAGGTGGTCGAGCGGGACCGGGAACTCCTTTAACAGCGCTCCGCTCTCGTCCGCCGTCTCGAGGAGGTTCGTCGAGACGTCGTGGAACCTCACAGTGAGGTCCACGTGTAGCGTGACGAGGATTCTCGGGACGATGTTGGCAGGTTTCGCTGGTCGACTTGGGCGAGCGAGGAATGTTGCTCTGCCGCCTTTGAGGGGAAGAGGTTGATCCATGACTTCTGGAGTCTCGAACTGGTGGTAGATTCGGCGGTACGACAGCGTCGGAAGGGTGAAGACCTCGGCGCCGCTGCAGGTTGCTCGACCTGACCAGCCGAGTGCTGACGGAAGCTGGAGCGCCTGAGGCAGCCGACTTGCGGTGGGTGGGAACGACCACGCTTCAACTCCTCGGCCGGAGTGAGGTGCTGCGAGGACAGGGAGGGAAGGGTCGACGCCGGTGGTGATGATGATGGAGGTCGGGTCCCATGCGTTACCGGCGTGCGGAGACTGGCGAGGGAGAAGGAGGAAGTCCTCAGGAGGGGAAGCAGTCGGGTAGAGGTTGTGCTGGAGAGGAGCGACGCTTTCCTTAAGAGCGTCGCGGACGGCAGAGGCGATGTTGCCGGTGTTCGAGTGCGTGGCTCCCGACGGCGCGACGTACGGTGGAAAGTCGAGGAGATGGACTCCCGTCGGATCGTTCGGGAGCAGACCACCGAGGATGGTCAAAACGGTGCCACCTCGACGATGAACGATGTCGTCCGGACTTGCTGAATCTGGCGTGGGAGGGACTTCTCCGCTCGGCGATGATGGCGAAGCGGGCGTCGTGGTCCATCCTCCGAACGCCTTCTCGTAGTACGTCTCCGCCGGGAACCCACTCCAAGCAAGCCTGAAGATAGGCTCGCGCTGAGAGGGTTTCCGCTGGCCAACATCGCCTTGAGCTGACCAGCCGAACAAGTCTTGCTCGGTGGCCTTGTGGACGTCACCGCGCTCGATGGTCCGGATCGTGATGGGGAACTCGTCCTGGCTCGAAGCAAACGAGATGCAGCCATCCTCGTGACCGCAAGCGAACATCAGACCTAGACAATTGAGACTAGTGAGAAACACGTCTATCGTCTTCGAGAGGAATGAGCGCACCATCAGGCCTCCAAGCGAGACACGTCACCGGCGGGCGACGCTCGTTCCAGATCGTGTCCTCTGGGTCGTTTCCTCCTCCTGGCGCTCCCGGCGTGATGACGAACTCGAAGTTTCTTTCTGTCTTCTTCTCAGCAATGTTCCATAGCGAGACTCCTCCCTCGTACGCGATCAAGAGGAGATTGACGTCCGTCGGGTGAGCTTTGATGTCGGTGCAGCAGGGACTGGAAAGAAGAGAAAGTCAGCGACGAGATGAATCAAACAAAAAGCGTGATGAGCCTACATATGCCGCCTACTTGGAGCACCAGGAACACCACTCCTCCTCAAGATCTCCTCCTGGACGAGCCAGAGGTTCGGAATGCGCGACTCGGAGACGATGATCCCACGACTGAGATCAAAGACGTCGACCGTGCCGTCTTTGCCACCCAAGAAGACGTGAGGATGCGACGGCGAAGTTTCGATGCAGCTTGTCGAACCATCCAAGAGTCAGCTCGGACAGGTCCACGGCGATGCGAGCGACAGCAAAGAACGAACGTGATGACGGAGCGTAGCGACGAGGAAGCATCTCTTGAAGGCTTCCCATTCACCAATCTCGATAGGTCGTAGACGCTGAGAGTGTCCTTTGAATCTGCTCGACCCAGCAACACCGACGAGACCGACGCACGATCAGCTCCTTTCCCTCGCTCCCGGAGCTCCTCAGTGGCGGGCGAGGGAAGACTCACCGACGCAAATGAGGAAGCCTGAGCCCGCCCTGAAGGCCAAATGCTTGATCTTTGCTTGGACGCCGATGTTCCAGCTGAAGTGCACCGCTGGCCCTCCCCACACAAACAACTTGCCCGCCGCCGTCCCTCCCGCCAGCAAGCTCTGCACGGGGTCTGAGGGTACGAGATTAGCTCTAGAGTGGTTTGTATGTCTCAATCGGAAGCTTCAATAGTCACTCACCATAGGCTAGAGCGGTGAGTTCCGATCCAAGGCCGAGCTCCGCCCATTGTCCGAGCTGGTACAGCTGAGGATCTCTCGCCACCTGGGAAAAGTCGAGGCCGTCGACTGCCTCAGCCGCCTTCTTGGCTGATCGGTTGAACATTGTGTTTCCTCCAATCTGATTGGAGCGAAGTGTGTGTAGGAGGACAAGCGTGCCGTCTTGCGCGCCTCTCCGCGCCTTGCTTCGGCAGCGACTTCGCGAAACGGAGCTCGCAAGGGCTTGGCCAACTTGCGCGCCACGTTTGTGTCCATGCTCGATCTTCTTCTCTTCACAGTAGTTTCAATTTCGATAGAAACAAGAGTTGATTCTATCGACGGACCACAAGTTTGCAAAAAGGAAGCACACTGGACTCCGTTGTCACGGAGACCGGCCACATACACGTAGCCGACGCTCGGCTCGCTTGAACAGTGGAAGGAGCTAGAAACTAAAGAACAGACGGACTCTCTGAGACACCAGTGGGATTCGAACCCACGAGCACAAGTGCAGGAGCAGTACACATCTACATGTAGTAAACTCCCTCCATAACCACTAGGAGATGGTGTCTCGGACGACGACGGCGGTGTCACTGTAACTAGTCGGGAGGAAGTCCCCCTACATACGACCAAGCTGTTGTAGATTGTGTTTTCCCTGCAAACTACATTTCTCCTCTTTGAGCCCCCTTTGATTCCGTACCCAGTGTCCAGCCCGTTCCCACTCGCGCAATCGCCTGGCACACCACGCTCAAATCGTCTTCTTACCCTCCACCTCCCCCTTCCAATACTCCTCATAGACGGTATTGTACCTAAAACGCCAGTCAATCCAGCTATGTCGCTATCGTTAACCGAAAAGGGCAGATGACGCACCCCAGCAACCTCTTGCCGATCCAATACCCCATGACGTGGTGCAAAGCCTTGTTGAGCCACATCGGGATCGGGAGAGCTAGGACCATGTCCCATTCATAGAGGAATAGTGACATTTGGAATGGGGAAGGAGCCATGTTGTTCTGTGTCAGAGGGGGGGACGGCGTGAGTGATTTGGCGGACGGGAAGGAGGAGGGACGAACGGCTTCGCAGTCGTTTAGGTAAGACCAAATGTTGCGGTAGAAACATTCGTCAAACCTAGTGAAATGACTTGTCAATCATCGTTGTAGCAGCCAGCGAAAAGAGGAAGCCACGCCGCGACGTACCCCTTCCTCTCCTCCGGACTGACCCTCATCCTCACCTCCATATCCTCTCCCGCCGTATCGTCAGGCCAGAACTGATGTGGCTCGCCGATCTTTGCATGGTACTCTGGGTCGTCTTTGGTCAAGGTGATGGATTCGCCGTTCATCGTGGCCATGAAACGTCCGGAGAGGACTTTGAAGTACTCGTCCTGTGAGAGGTACCGCTTTATTAAAAGAAGGAGCAAGGGAGTAGAGGAGTTACAAACCTGAGTGAGGTGGATGTGTAGCGGTGGTGCACATGCTGCATTCTGAGAATGCGTGTCGGACAACTGCATTAGCTCCGTGCACCAAACTCCGAGCAGTTAGGATGAACAGAGCAGCTCTCGCTGAACTCCACGCCGTCCAAGGCACAACGTAGCAAGCAACCCAAAGCTGGTAGGACCAACCTTTCCACCCTGAGCTCCCTTCATCCCGATGCGATGGACGGCCCTGACGTAGTGGACGTCGAGCTTATCGTCGTACTCGAAGTAGGTGCTCGTGCTGCCGCCGGCAGTGACGAGTGGGTGGACGTGGTGCGTGACTGAGCGGGCAGGTCGGGGCGAGAGATAGAGCTGGAGCGTGGTGGGCAACATTCTGGCCCCTTTTGTTAGAGTGGAATGATGGGAGAAAGAGAGCGGCAAGTGCGGGAACTCGTCAAAGAGGGCGAACGACGGGCGCGCACTGTTCAGGGACCGGCACCGGAGCAGCAGCGTCGGCATCGTCGCTTACCTCGGACTTTTGAGTTTCGAAGCAGAATGAAGGAAAGAGGCAGTAGTCTCTTGAAGGTGGAACTTCTGAGGTTTACAAGGGACGGCAAGAAATGGCCCGACTCAGTTGAAGGCGAGCTGATCGGAGTTCGGTCGCAGTTCTGTGAAAGGTTGCTGCTGCTGGCCTGATGGATGGCTGGGCAGAGCAGTAGCGAGTCAGAGGTGGTCACGAGTGAGAGTATGTAGAGTTGTGACTATCAGTGATAGAGTCAGTCCAGTGTAGAATGAGTAGAAGGCAGAAAGCGACAGCGGGTAGCGAGGCGGTGTTGGCCGGTTCCCGCGAAGTTCACGCAGAGGGCTTGAGCTCGGCCGCGCAGAGGCCAGGCGCGAGAGGGCGCCAGGGTGGCTCGACAGCGCTCCGCTCCCTTGCCTCCCTCCTCCACCGCTCGTCGCCCCCCTCGCCTCGCCTCACTTCTCTCACCTTTTTTTCTCGCACTACTTAGCAACCATGGAAGACGGCACGTCGATTCTCCCCCCCAGAGCTGGCAGCCTGCGCGCGGGCGTAGCGACGTGTAGGGTCCCGAGCTCGTACTGACCCGCTCCTCCCATCTCGCTGCTTGCCCGTCAACAGAAGTCGCCGCCCTCGTTATCGACAATGGATCCGGTACGTACCTCTGCCTGTCCACCACCCCCCTCGTACTCGCCTCGACCGTCGAACGAGCGAGCGCGCGAGAGAACGACCCCCCGGGCCCGACTGACGTGCACTGCTCCCACAGGTATGTGCAAGGCCGGATTCGCCGGAGACGACGCCCCCCGTGCTGTGAGTCGAACTGTTCCTGTCTATTCTATCGACACTCTGGGGTCAGGCGAGCCAGCGGGCGAGCGTCGGCCCGCCAGAGTCAGTTCGACGAGCTTCCACCCGCCGAGTTGAGCGAGTCGGTCTTGGGCCCCTCCCAGCCCTGGCCCACCCCCCTCCACGCGCCTCGCTCGCCCCCCTCCTCCTCCTCCCAGCGCTTCTTGTCGCTCAAGGCGCCGCAGAGCTCGTAGCTGATGACTGTGTGTCGTCAACCTCCAGGTCTTCCCTTCCATCGTCGGCCGTCCCCGTCACCAGGGAGTCATGGTCGGTATGGGACAGAAGGACTCGTACGTCGGTGACGAGGCCCAGTCCAAGCGTGGTATCCTCACCTTGAAGTGTACGTCCCTGTTCTCCTGAGATGTATGCGAAAAGGTGGTGGGATTGGCGGGATTGGGGAGCTGACGATAACGACTCTCGCGCCTACCCGCTCGTCCCGCCCTTGCTCCTCGCTCCCTACCACCCCCATCACACTCCCCGCCCTCCTCTCTCCTCTACTCGTCTCCGTTTCGCACGCAGACCCCATCGAGCACGGTATCGTCACCAACTGGGATGACATGGAGAAGATCTGGCACCACACCGTTCGTCCACCTCGTCCCCCCACGTCCTCTCATGATCCACCGAGCTCACCCTCACACCACTTGACGGCGCGCAGTTCTACAACGAGCTCCGTGTCGCCCCCGAGGAGCACCCCGTCCTGCTCACCGAGGCTCCCCTCAACCCCAAGGTCAACAGGGAGAAGATGACCCAGATCATGTTCGAGACGTTCAACGCGCCCGCCTTCTACGTCGCCATCCAGGCCGTCCTCTCCCTTTACGCCTCCGGACGTACGACCGGTATCGTCCTCGACTCGGGAGATGGTGTCACCCACACCGTCCCCATCTACGAGGGTTACTCGCTCCCCCACGCCATTCTCCGTCTCGACCTCGCTGGTCGTGACCTTACCGTACGTCGCCCTCCTTTCCCGCTTGCGCGGCAGCGCACGCCAATGATCTGGAGCTGACCCTTCGCGCTGCCCACAGGACTACCTCATCAAGATCCTGATGGAGCGTGGCTACACTTTCACCACCACCGCCGAGCGTGAGATCGTTCGTGACATCAAGGAGAAGCTTTGCTACGTCGCCCTCGACTTCGAGCAGGAGATGCAGACTGCTGCCCAGTCGTCCGCTTTGGAGAAGTCCTACGAGCTCCCCGACGGACAGGTCATCACCATCGGAAACGAGCGGTGCGTCTTTGCTTCTGTTTCCCCCGCTTTCGGACCTTCTGAGCTGATAAGGCGCCGTGTTGGGTGATTTCAGCTTCCGTGCCCCCGAGGCTCTCTTCCAGCCCGCTCTCCTCGGCCTCGAGGCTGCTGGAATCCACGAGACGACCTACAACTCTATCATGAAGTGCGACCTCGACATCCGAAAGGACCTCTACGGCAACATCGTCATGTCCGGTGGAACCACGATGTTCGTTTCTCTCGCATCTCAAGCGTCTCAACGGAGAAACTGACAACGGCTTCTTTTGGGTAACCTAGGTACGCTGGTATCTCCGACCGCATGCAGAAGGAGATCACCGCCCTTGCTCCTTCGTCGATGAAGGTGCGCCCCGGCGCCCCACTCGCTCTGCTTCACATGCTCACCGCTCTGCTCGCAAAAACAGGTCAAGATTGTCGCTCCTCCCGAGAGGAAGTACTCTGTGTACGTTTTCTTGTCGCTTTATCGCCTTTTGAGCTTGTTTGACTGACTTGCTTGCGCTTCCCTACAGCTGGATCGGGTTAGTCTCGGCTTGGTGTTTGGTGGGCTGTGGCTTTGGAGAGCAATTGCTGACAAGGCTTTTTTTTCTCAACAGAGGTTCTATCCTCGCTTCGTTGTCGACTTTCCAGCAGATGTGGATGTACGTGCTGCTCTTTAGTTGGTTTCGTTCGTTGCGAGGTCGGTCGCTGACCAATCTGCTCTTCTCCCACAGCTCGAAGCAGGGTTCGTCTAATTTAGATGAGTACTCAATAAGGTTGGAGCGCATTGCTGACTTTCTGTTCGCTTTCTCCCTCTCCTTCCATCGTCACCCATCTCGCGCGCCACGTCATCGCCTCTCCCCTTTCAACTTTCTCTTCGGCGCCAACAGAGTACGACGAGTCTGGACCTTCGTAAGCCTCCATATCTATCTCTTTCAACCTTTCTCAGCGGCTGACGGTCCTCTCTGTGCTACTCAGGATTGTGCACCGCAAGTGTTTCTAAGGGGTTTACCGATGCCATTCGGTCGTTGTCGTGTCTCATTAAAAAGTTACTTGACCCCCCTTCTTGCTCCTCCTCCTCCCTCTCCGCCGATACAAAACCCCTCTACGTCTCCTTTCATCGTGTTCGCGCCGTCGCTACTACTACCCCCCTTTTCAAAGTTTTTTGCTCTACCTGAAACCGACTTTTTTTGCTCTCATACCTGTTTGGTCGTTCATTGTTGGTGGAGATTGAGAGAAGAGAGAGTGTGCTCGTTGGAGATGGATGTCGTAGAGCTCATGACTGAGCCTCCAGGCTTGGGCAAGCGCTGAGCAGGCGAGGAGCTCGACGAGTTCTCGGGTGGAGAAGAAGCAGCGTCTCTCGTTTGACTTCTTTCGCTTGACCTTGGCCTTGGCGCAGTAGACTAGTGCAGAGGTTCTGAAACGCTTTTTTGGCGTACGACTCCCTCAAGGCTCGTTCAAGAAAAGTGCTCGCTGTACAAGTTTGACGTGTCGCGTGGAGCGCTCGAACTGAGTCTCCACGTTCGCCTTGCCGTCACACTTTACATCCAAGGAGTGGAATCAATTTATCACCCCGAAGTCATTCCA